AAAAAAAAAAAAAAAAAAAAAAGGTATTGGCAGTTGACTATTTTCAATAAATTTTACCTCAATATCCATTCTCACTAGAACCTTAAACAACATTATTCATTTATCTTACAAAACTACTAAAAAAATTGCCTTCACCTGAAAAATTTTTCTTTGCATTTTCCTGTAAATGAAAATGTTTGTTAAAAATTCATCTATTAAAAGTTCACACAGCACTAAAAAAAAGATTTCTGTACATTTGTTCCCATATTCACTTTTAAATAAAACAACTAAAATAAGACATAACAAAGGAAGGTTGAATACTGTACAGGCTCACAGGTAACCTTTTTCACAATTCTGAATGTTTCACTAAGTTTTGTAACTCTGATACTGGACACCACTTCAATCTTGCTTCCACAGTACAAAAGAAGCTCTCAAAAAATGCTCATCTTGCCTTGTTGAGCTGTCCAGGTGCATCAATGAAGTGTACACATAACTAACATACGTAATTCATTGCACCAAGCCGTTTGACCAGTCAGATAGGTTTCTAGTACCACACATGCACACTCATTCTTCTTTACTGATGTATCTATGATCCTACACAGATCTTCTATAAATTTGCTGTCTCAACATTAAAAAATAAGTGCATCAAGTTTCTTTGTACATTCAAGTCACTTTCTAAGGCAAATTGTTAACTGTATGTACTCCCAACTGCTTTGGTATTTTGCTTCAGTTAATCGACAGTGGACATAGATGTTTAAGCATGTGGACTGGTCAGTTCTGGCTGGAGTGAGTGGACTTTCACTGGGAGCGTGCCTTAGACCAACAATTCTGCATGTTGAAAAGAAAGGTTTTAGACTTCTGGATGGAGTGCAGACTACATGCATATCTGGCCTACGACTGTTATGGTATGTCAGTATGCAGAGTTCAAATTAAAGTGGAAAACTGCTGATGAGCATTTAGGTTGTACATCCCTTCCTAGTCATGTTTTGTTTAATTTTATTTTTCCAGCTAACTTAATTCTATAAAAAAAAGGATCCCCATTGTGATAGCTCAGCTTGACAACAATTTAAAACTTCCTTTACATGTGAAAGCATAAGCAGACTGCGGTAAGCAATACATCTATTGCCATGAGACTAATGCAGATCTAATTCTTTATTACTTTCTCCTCCTACCCCTCTCTCTCTTTCTCTCTCTTTCTGTTTCTTTAGAGGGCAAATGCCTCTACCTGGCAGAAGTCAGTTGGGGTTGCTAGTGCATGGTTTCCAAATGTTCAGCAGAGATGAAACTGGATCTGTATTTTTGCAGTAATTTGAACCTTACTATGGGAATACTGTTACTTCCCTTAGCAATCAGCAAAGACTGAAAAATATTAGTGACTTGCATCAGTGTGACAAAGTATAGCATTTGGCAGGTATATAGTTCAGCAGTTGAAATAGATGGGTTGAATTTTAGAAAAGGTGTTTTCAAACTGAAGAATTTCTGGAAACAAAGTTTAATCTTGTGGTGCATGGTCTTGTTCTTACAGTTCAATCTTGCATGCGGGAAAAGATTCATCTTGCATAACAACAGTGCTGCTGCTTGCCAAAACCATGATGTTGAGGTCCTGCTGTTTCTCATGGGTCTCTTGGTACCATTCCCTCATCACTTCTGAGTCATGAGTTGGGATTAAGGTCACCTGTAACACAAAACAAGAGAGAAATGGATGTCCTGAGGAATGGACAACAGAAAACAGCTGAGAAGAAAAACATCTTTTTAAGAAGCCCTGGCTAAGAAGTATGTTTCCCTTTTGGAAAGTGTGGGTCTTTATGCAATAAATACTTGAATAAATGGATGAGTAAAAGGAAATAAATTTAAAAAATGGGTAAGGTAAAATGACTGAAAAAAAGTAGTTTATCAGAATAAAATCTTGGTTTTGTAAGCTGCTGAGATGCAGATTTCCAGAGAAGTAGCAACCTGCAGTCTGCACTGATCATGGCCAGATATTTTGTTTACTTACGGATCATGATGGAAAGGCATATGAAGTTTCCAAGGCTATTTGGTTACTATATAAACTATAAAACATTCACTTTTCTTTCCTACTTACAAACTGCAACGTTTCCAAACTTGGATCATATATGATATAGTAACAAGATGAAACAGCTGAATGGCCTTGTAAACCAGCTCCCAACTGTTTTATTCACCAGAACAGGTCAGAAGGGTTAGAAATGGGGGAGCAGCTGAGTGCAGTGCAGCTCCATGCTTCGCTCAGGTGTCCTTGCACATCATCTGTGAAATTAGGTGCCCAGCCTGGGGACCCCATGCCCCAGCAGCCACTGTCCACTCCAGAGGTGCTCTGGCTTCCCTTAGTTGCTTCCCAGAGAAGGTGAAATTTACAGGTAAAGAAAACAGTGAAGAACGTACCTGCAAGTTACTCTCCCACTGTGCCTTGCCCTCCAGGAGGGAGTCCAGAACAGCCCTGCTTGGCTCCTCAGCTGCAGAATCATTCCCGCTCACCACGTAGTAGGATGACCGCACCCTCTTGAAAAACTCAACATCAACGTTCTTGCTATTGCTGTGGTTGGGAATGTACACCAGATCCAAATACACCGGAGGTCCTGGAGGTACTGCTGTAGATTTTTCCACCTTAGTATTCCCAGGTCCTTTGGAAATCAAAAAAGAAAAGAATACATCACAGGCTACTTAAAAACATGCATTTATTAATTACTGTTATAACTGCTGAGGTGAGATGTGTCCAATTATAGTATTATCCTCCTACATCCAGTGACTTGTTCTAGCTTTGTTGTATCCCATTTATGACTATAATGGGAGGAAAAACATTAATAACTGTAACTATATAATACAATAAAAACACACTACCACACAACCAAAAATTGGCTGAAACCTTCCCAGTAGTATACTACTATTATCCAACAACTACTACACAGGGCTGTGATTACTGAATCACACCAGTAAACAGTGATATTATTTTCTAGGTTAATAAGTACAGCTTTTTGAAAGTCTCAGGTATGCACAATTATAATCCCTAGGGTCACACAGGGAACCATGCAGTTTTGAAGCAGTCCTGAGATCTGGGGTATCAGCACATAAGAAGACGTGATAGCTGTTGATATGCTCAGACTGCCTTACAGGTGCATCAGGAGCCTACTACATGTGAGCAGAAGGGTCAAAGTGGAACTTGTGAGGACAGAGAAACATGTAAAGCAATTTCTTCAGGAAACTCAGAATAAGTGTTGTTTGCCTGCTGGATCCTTATTTGCATACAGGAACTAGCTGCTTACTACAAAAAGCAGAGAAAGTGTTTTTCTGCTGCTGTACATAGTACTGTACTTGTTCTAAGAGCTTCAGTCAAAAGGAAGTTTAAACACATTAAAAATACTGCTCAAAAAAAAAGAGGTTTTTTGCTATGCACTGGATCATGGTGTGAACTGAAAATCAGGATTCAACCAGTAATTTTATCCAGATGATCATCATTTACACTCTATTAGCCTTCTCATGTTGTTACAGAAGATGAAGCTTGGTAAACAATTATCTGAGCAATACATTCTATTTAGGGTCACATATTGTAAGGCTATCAAAGTCCATTACACCTGCCTAGCATGTTCTGCCATTCATCATAGAGCAACATGCCAAATAAGCACCATAATATAACTTCCTCTGAATTAGAGAGTTTTTACTCTTGGTTTATTGGTTACATTACAAAATCTTTTATTGCCTTTTATCATTAAAAAATCTGTGATTTATCTTTCTGAATTGTGGAAACCAACACTGGTTAAAATATTAGATGTTACATTTTATACTTAATTATCATTATCAAAAAAAGTTTTGTCTTCTGGTCTACTGTTTACCTGGGAAGTATGCTTTCAAGAAGAAGAATTTCATATGGAGCTGAAGCCCTGGAGAAATGTACAGCATGAGGAACTATACTGCTTCTTTGAAACACATTTACTAACAGAGACATGTAAACAATGGTGTAAGAAAGGAACAGTGGACCACTTAAAATGGGGAAGCTAAAAACAGTTGATGAATGCTGGTTTGTTTGTTCTGAATCCTAGACCTGCTTCTTGTAAAAAGCTTTCAACAGGACAACAGTCCTCACAACTGCAAATCAAAGTATTCCCCAAACACTCTCTAACAAGATCTGCTGGAAACAACAGATTAGCACAATGCCTCCTTCAGTAACCTAATTCATATTTTATTACTACTTAGAATACACAACAGTTATTCAAAATTACATCAACTTTCTGTATGTTTAGTCATCACTGATGGCATAAGAGTTTAACCAGATAATGTAATGTACATGCTTAGTTCACTGAAAGTGCTCTTACTACTGTTATATTTTTTTAAAATACTCCTTTTAAAATTAATCCAGAAAATAAGAGCTTCCAATGGCTGATAGTACCTTTGCCTCCCACAATATTAAATTACATTAATTTATGTTAAAAGAATTTTGCCTGTTTGTTTCTCATAATGAATGAAGTGGTTCACTCTGCTACTGATGTCACTTAACCTACAAAAGGGATACTTTTAATTCTATGAGTTGGTTAACAGTTTGAACAGCTAGTATTATATTCTTAATATTTTATGTACTCCTTGAGCAAACTGACACAAATTGCTCAGATTACAAAAGTTAAATTAGTGAATTTCATGCATTTAAATGTGGCCTTTACATGCTGGTTTTACATTTAAAACCTTGACTTTCTTTGGGGATTTGCTACAAACAACATTCTCAGCTGATAAAAAGGCAAACTAGTTTTACTGCAACAACTAATAAAACCTTAACACTAGGGAACTGCTATTGTCTTTACCTGTGGTTGCAGTCTTTGCTGACTTGGATGTTGATGTATTTGCTGCATTCTTGGTGTCCTTATCTTTCTCTTCCACTCGAGACTTTACTTCTGGATTAGAGATATTTTTGGTTGCCTTTTCTACAGATTCCTTCTTTTTTGGAGAAGCGGTTTTGGAAATTTTGTCTAAAGATTCTTTTATAGCCGGCTTTGGTGAAGCCACTTGTTTTGATTTACCATCACTTTTTTTAACAGGAGAGGATGACTTGGTTTTAGTACCCTGCTTTTTTGTCTTTGTCTTTTCTTTGAGGTCCTTCTTCAAAGGTTTACCCAAATTCTGATCAACAGGCAGAGCCTCTGGATCAACCATGGAAACATCAGGGTGCCTGGGGGAAGGGCTGCGATCCTGCATTGGGACAGGCGGTGGGTCAATGTGTTTGTATGTAATTGTCTTGTCCGTTGGAATGGTTTCTGACTCATCTTCTGAGTCAATGTTAGCATCTGCAGTGATGGAAGGACATTCCTCAGTCTCCGGGGGAACATCTGAATCAGTCTGAGATGGGGCAGACTCGCTCACAGACGTGGGAGGGGTTTCATCACACTGCCGCCCTTGCTGCTTTCCCCCAGAAGGTGGCTGAGCTCCCCCAGATTGAGTTAATGGTTTCTCTTGATCTTGAGACTGTTCTTCACTTGCAAACCACTCAAGGGGGTTTGGGTTGATAAATGAGGGAGAAAGTTCAGTTTTGGGATGTTTATATTCGCAAGAGGACACAAGGCATAAGTCAACGTCTTGACGGGATTCTGCTAAAGATTTTCCTGGAGTGAAATGTGCACTTCCTTCATAGGAATAGCTGGTAGCTTCCAGTGACCTGGTAGCTCTCCCAGTTGTCTCAAATGAGTAATCTGTGGCTTCAGGTGAACTGGAGACTTTCCCAGTTGTCTCACAGGAGTAAGCGATGGCCTCTGGTGACCTTGTGGTTCTCCCAGTTGTCTCATAGCAGTAGCTAATGGCTTCTGGTGACTTAGTGGTTTTTCTTCTTGTCTCATAGGAGTAATCCATAGTATCAGGTGATCTGGTAGCTTTCCCTATTGCCTCATAGGAATAATCTGTGACCTCAGGTGATTTGGTGGTTTTCCTTGTTGTCTCATAGGAATAATCTGTATCCCCAGGTGACCTAGTGATTTTCCCAGTCATCTCATAGGAATAATCTGTGACCTCAGATGACCTCATATTTTTTGCAATTACCTCATAGGAATAATCTGTGGTCCCAGGTGACCTAGTAGTTTTCCCAGTTGCCTCATAGGAATAATCCGTGGCCCGAGGTGATCTAGTAGATTTTTCAACTGCCTCATAGGAGTAGCTAATATCCTCTGGTGACCTAGTAGTTTTCTCTGTGGCCTCATAAGAATAACTAAGTTCTTCTGGTGACCTGCTGCTTTTTTCTGAATCTTCTTTTTCTGGGCTGAGTAAGGGTTCTGGACCATGTTTTGTTAGGTGTTCCTGGTAACAAAAACCTTTGACAGAGGACATCTGCAGTGGCAATGAAGGGATATGACTAGTTGACACCACTTCTGTGACTGCAGGAGGTGAATCTGGAAAACTAGGAGAGTACAGAGGAGAAGATTCCCTTGGAGTTAATGGAGATAGGTCAGACTTTGGTGACAGCTTTTCTCCTAGGCTCTGCACCTTTTCTGAGGTAAAAGAAGAATGTAGTGACATATCTCTGGGTGGAACAGCACCTGAAAAAGTTTCCTCTGGCAGTGGTGAAGTTACCTGGGAAGGTGTATGAGCTGATGAAGTTGAGGATGAAGCTTCAATTTGAGAAACTGAAATAATTTCTGAAATATCTTTCTCCTGGGAGTAAGATGACTGCTCCACAGGAGAAATCTTTTGTGCAAAAGTAGGCTCCTGTATATCTGAAGGGCTATAATCTACTTCTGTTGGTCCATTTTCAGATATATGGTGTATACTAGTGCCTACAGTAGGATATTCTGGAGATTGCCTACTAAAGTCCATTGCTAAAGACTGCTCAGGGGACTCCTGACCAAATTCTACTGACATAGTTGACTGCTCAGGTGATCTGTGATCATGCACTGGCGTTCTTGATTTTGCAGTTTTAGGTGAGAAATCTGGTGGAGATATTGACATGGGCCTTGGGCACTCTTCCTTAGATGGAGACATTTCTGTTTCCTGAAAAGTTGTTGGTGTTTGTACAACCGACACTGAAAGGGAATCATCAACTTCAGTAGAGTGAGGAGATCCAACCTCGGCATGCAAAGAAGGAGATACATCATCAGTAGTTGGTTCTGGAAATGAACTGGTAGCAACAGATGCTGTAGAGACAGAAGCTACTCCTTCTATATGGGAATAGGTGTCTTCTGCTACAACTTCATCAACAGGAGTTGCAGACTTGTCAGAAACAGTGCCTTCAGAAATTGACATTTTGGTATCTTCTTTTAAGGAACCAAACTGACTAATATCTATTTGAGTAGGTGAGAGATCACCTGCTAATTTCCGCTCATCCAAGATCAGTGAAGACTGGGAGCTGCTGGGTTCTGTATCCTCCATTTTCCTTTCTAGGCTGAAGCCTTCCTTAATTACCATAAACTCCATGCTTTTTTCATCTTGTTTTTCTTGGAAAAGGCCCACAGAGCTGGCTTCAGAAGTTGGGCTCATCTGAACAGGTGATTTTTCTTTTTCAGGTTTCCCCTCAGAAGGACTTTGGTAATCCCTGGTGGGAGACTTTATATCAGCACTCAAAAATGTATCATAAGTGGTCTCTGAACCTATCAGTGGTGGACTCCGTAGAGGTGAGAGAACCTTTTCAATAGGAGATTCTGAGTCTGGCACAGGCTCATCCATAGGGCTTATTCTGGGTTTTGCAGACTCATCTTTGACTTCACTGAATTCAAAGCTAACAGGAGCTTCTGTTGACTTTTCACTGGTTTCAGAGGGAAGCTGACTAGACTTTTCATCAGTGGGAGACTGATAATAAGGTGTGTGGCCAGCACTACCAGCAGCAGACTGGGAGGGAGATGCTACTTCTAACGTTTTATCTTCAGGGCTTGCACAGTGCTCTTCAGCAACTTCTTGATGTACATCAGGCAGTGTGGCAATGGAGACTGGCTCAGATGAGACCTTGATCTCATTTGGAGTGAGTGAAAAGTTCACACTACGTTCACTCAGAGGTGTTTTGGCAACAGGTGATGGAGGGGACAAACTGCCAGCTGGACTCTTGGCTGGACTATGTTTTTCACCAACATCTTGCTGATAGGGTTCTTTGATTTCTAATTTGGCAGTGCCTTGGATTTCACTTTCTTTTTGCCGGTATACATCTTGGAATGCAGATTTACAGAATTTGTCTTCCTCTAATGAAGAAGGTGGTGAGATGGTGGAAGCTGAGGCGTTATAGTCTTTACCTTCTGTGGCTTCTGTTTTGGATCCTTCAGATAATCCATTAAAAGCATCTGGAAGTGGAGAAAGTTTAGGTCTGCCAAACTCTTGAGAGTACAGTGATGTCTCATATTTGGTAATGTTCACATACTCCTGAGAGGGTGACTCACTTTCCTCATTGTTAGTTTCATCACTCATGACATCCCGGGGTGTTGACATTTCATCCATTGGAGTTGGTTCACTGGATATTTCAATGGTAGACTGTGTGTAACCCGAAGTAGCAGTGAATTCCTCAGGTTGGTCTTCTCTATTTTCTTCATCAGAAACAGTGGCTTCACTTTCTGAACCACCAGGTAATGTCTCATCATGGATAGAAGAGGCTGGTTCAACTGCTGGAGACTGAGGCTCTGAGCGTTTTGTTGGTGTAATTATGAGTAGGCCATATTTATCTTCAACTTCACCAGCTTCTGCAGCTTTGTCTACAACAGCCATCACATAATCTTCTTCAGCTTCTACTTTTTCAGCTTCCTCTTCATCTCTGTCTTCTGCTTTGTCTTCCTCATCTTCTTCAGCCTCTTCAGTTTCTGCCTTTTCTATTCCTTCTTCTCTGTCTTCCTCCGCCCGTTCATCTGATGTCTCATAATCTGCCTTTTCAATATACTTTTCATCTTTAATGTTAGCATCTGCTTCAGCCATTATTTCTTCTGAGCTCTCTTCACTTTTTTGTGGGTGCTCCATATATGGTTTTGTGGTGTCCAGTGGTGTCTTTTCTTCTTCATCTTCACCTTGTTCTTCAGCTTCTTCTGTCTCTGCCTTTTCTTCATAATCTCCTGCTTCAGATGATTCCTCCAAGCCAGTTCCCTCATCTTCAAACTTTTCATTGTCATCAACCCTGTGCTTTTCCACAGGTTCCAATTCTTCAGGTGTCTGTTCGCATTCACCCTCAGCCTCTGTGGTAGTTATGCCTTCATCAGAGGACTCAGCAGGTCCTTCATTATCTAATTTTTCTTTTTGTACTTCAAAGGCCTCCTTTTGTACTGTGCCAGTGAGTTTCAGTTCATCCTGTATAAGTGCAACTTGAGGTTTTATTTCTTTTATTGTTTCTACTTCTTCAGCTTTTAATTCCTCAAAATCCTTTGTTAAATCCTCTGGTGAAGACATAAGGGATCTCTCCGCTTCAAGTTCCTTTCCACTGGCTGTAATTTCTGCAGCTGCTACAGCTGCTACAGTTGTGGCAGCGACTCCAACTGATGCAAGAGCAGCTTGTGCTCCACTGACTTTGATCTCCTTCTTCACAGTCTTAACTTTTCCTTTTTCCTTTGGCTTTCCAGCAGGTACTGCTTCTTTTTTAGCAGGTTCCTCCTTCTTTTGTGGTTTAGGCTTTGCTGCTGTCTTTTTGGCTTCAGCTGAAGGAGCAGCTGTCTTCTTTGTTTCTTTAGGAACCTTTTTGATGTCCTTTTTGGCTTCTTTTTCTTCCTTCTTAATTTCTTTCTTCTCTTCTTTTTTAGCTTCTTTTTTAGCTTCCTTTGGTGGAGCTTCTTTCTTTACCTCCTTCTTAGTTTCCTTCTTCTCTTCCTTTTTAATCTCTTTTTTAACTTCTTTCTTGATCTCCTCTTTTTTCAGTTTATCCTCTTTTTTGATGGGTGTTTTTTCCTCTTTTTTGGAAACCTCTTTCTTTGGTTTTTCTTTTTCCTCTTTCTTTTCTTCAGGTTTTGCTTTGACTTCCTTTTTCACTGGCTTCTCCTTTGACACTTTTGGTTTTACATCTGAAGTTAGCTTTTCAGGAGTTTCAGATTTAACTAATTGTTCTTCTTTACTTGTTACGTCTTTTTCTGCCACTATAGGTTTGGTCTCCACTTTTGCTGGTTTCTCTTTTTTAACTGGAATTTTTTCTTTGCTTTCCAACTTCTGAGGCTTTTCTGGTGCCAGACTAGGCTTTGCAGGCTCTGGTGTTTCTTCTTTAGATTCTTTTCTGACAGGCTTGCTTGGTGGTGTCTTTGCAGCAGGCTTGAGACTCTCCTTGCTGTCTGTTCGTTGTTTCAACTTTGCTTGTTTCACAGCTGGACTAGCAATGTTGCCAGTGAGGTCTTTTTGTGTAACTACTGGTTGTTTAAGGAAGTCTAAGTGTCTGAGTTTTTCTAGTCCTTCTAGAATATTATATTGGGTGCTGTTTCCAGGAAAGAGAACTCGGATTATTTTTTCTGCAGGATTAGCTGGATGCCAGACAATCAGGGATGAGACAGAGGTGAAGTAGGATAATGGAATGTCTAGTTCTTGGCCATTTTGTAGTAGGAATTCAGCTCTATCTTTGTTAGTACCACTCCATTGTTGCATAAAATATTGCATCTCTTTGCTATTTTTGACAGGATTAAGCACATACATCTCAAGTTTGCCAACTCCCATTTTCTGAAATAAAATGATGGGGTCAATGGTATTTCCCATATTTCTGAAAAGAGGTTCTGGCTTCATAGACAATTTATTTAAATACTGGAGTGTAAAACAAGCTTCTTCTACACTCCTTTTTACTTTGAAATTAGGATCCAGGTTCTTCAGGTTCTCAGGTACATTAAGAAATACAACTCCTAAATCAGGTGAGATCAGATTTTTCATCCAGTCACTGTTGGTAGTAGACCCTTGGGACTGTTCCTCTTCTAGTTCTGCTATCTTTCGTTGAAGCATGCTATTGATTCCTGGCAGGTTGTCATCTCCGATATGAGTAAGCAGAATGGAATCTACCCTGTCCAAGTGCCGGATAAGTTTCCAAAAGCAAGATTTTCTTTCGGATCCTCCATTGATAAGCATGTTGAATCCATTCACTGCAAACAATGCAGAGTCCCCTCTTCCCCCTGGGAAAATATAACAGCAGGGTTTTGAGAGTTTCAGGAAGCCTCCTGAGGTTGGAGGTTCCAAAATGTCAAAAGGTGATGGCACTTCTACTGATTCTGACAGATATTCTGTGAATTCAGAGAGTCCTTCCATTTCGGGCAATATGGAAGCTGAGTTGAGTTTAATGTTAATAAAGTCTTGAAGGTTATGTCTGTCAAGGTTGGAATTTTTCCAGTCCCCTTCCTCAGGGCAGAAAAGAGTTAGGCTGGCTTTGTTGGCAGGGTGTGTGGTGCTCAATAATTCACCAATCTAGGATTGTAAAACAGAAACACAAGATTCATGTAAATTCATTTTTAATGACAATTAATGCCAAAACATGGTATTTCCTGATCAGATTAAAAAAAAACCCAAAACAAACAAACAAACAACAACAACTGTTTCCATTTGCTTCTGCACTGGTGAGTAAATGTCCTAGAAGCTAAACGAACCTGTTACTACAATTAGTTTACCACTGTATTTTTTTAAATACAATGGAAGACCTTATTCCTGTTCCTATTGCCCAAAGGACAACACTACCCCAAAGTTTCCCCATACCTCCTCCACCCTTTATAGGAGGCTAGTACAAGCTTTTATATTGGTAAGGTGTGAGAACTATGAGGCTAACACTGCCAAACCTGCCACTACCTTTGACTCAGGAGTCTTCCTGCTGCCCCAGACCATTCAAAGACCCAGTCAAATACCTAACAGACAAAGCATATAGTCTTAACAGGCAGAGAATAACTGCAACCCAGAGAAGGCCAGCGTTCTCCCAGGGGCAGCTGCCTTCCTCACCTCTTCTCTTATGGGATATATTCCACCACACCATTGTTGCTGCAGTTCTTCCTGCAGGCTGGGTCCTGAAAAGCCAGCATGGCTCCCAGATTAGCAAGACTTGACTGCAGGAGACTTGACTCTCCAGAACACTAAGAAATTAGTTATTGCTTTAGAAATGCAAAGAGCTGCAAGTTTTGTATTTCTGAGACTATGAGGTACAGGGCTAAAGAAAGAGCCAGAAAAGAAAGTGTTATGGTTAAAAATGCTCTTGTCATTATTTAGATTTTAAACACAAAAGTTGAAATCTAGAATAACTCCATTAATTCTGACAGTATTTGGTGACATTAGTACCAAGCCCAGACGCTGAAACAAAGGCACAGAAAACAAGTTCTGTGCCATAGTATGAAGAGCTGTTGTTCTGTTCAGTCTGAACTAAAATTCAATATTTGATGGTTCCAGAATAGTAGACAAACATGAGAAAGTATGACATATTTAATATCTCCTCCGAGTTCTACAAATAATTTCATTTTACTTTTTAACTGACAATTAGGTTAAATGTAGCCCATTTCTGTTCTATTTGATCTTAACAAAGAGATAATCAAACTATGTAAACTTCTTTAAAGAAGTAATTCAGACATAAAACGTCAGTGCAAAATTTGTCAGCACATCATCATGCAAAATACCACAATGTTCTTTGCAGAGACTCAACTGTCGGTTCAAGCTGTAAGAACAGTTTTCATAAAGATGATAAAGAATATGTTACAGCTGAGTAATTTGAAAGTCTTGGACCACAAGCTGAATCAGCAGAAGAAATTAATATATAAAGAATTAATGACGTTTGATTGCATCAGATCTCTTTGGGCCTCTGTGTGTGTATGTCTCACTTCCTTTGTGTTACATAATTTATTTTCAGCATTTACCAAAAAGAAAACTCAACAAAGATGCAATGACTGTTATCCAAAGAAAAATAATCCAACAAATACTTAATTAAAGCAGAAAGTAAACATTTTCTATCTTCCTTTTTCAGCCTTATTTGGTATAAACCTCACCCATATGTCAGATAGGGCTTTGTCTGAAAAGGAGCAAAGAAAACAATAGAGCAAAACAAAATAAAAGGAGAAAAGGATGAAAGATAAGGAAAATAGGAGAATCACTCATGTTTTTTATTGCAGAAGTAAGAGAGACAGCACAAACCACAGCTCTGACATGGATTTAGGATCTTGAGTGTAACCCTTATGTTGTGTCTCTGATCAGAGCTGAAAACACATTATTAGGGAAAGACGAAAGTAGTAAAATATTACTTCCTCTGGATGAATAAATCCAACTCAGTTGCACACAAAAGGAGATAATTTGAGTACAAACTATTTCTCATGTAGGGCAAATTTAAAAAAAAATCATACAGCAATACACTGGGATAATGAATATACTGGGCCATGGTTTGGGGTTATTCCTCTCCAGTTTATATTATACCATATTTGGATTCTGCTTCAGACTCCAAAATTCTGACTTTCTTTGCTCCTAAAAGTTGGCACACGTAATGCAGACAGTGTTAAGGCAGTGATAGTTCAGGCCAATTAAAAGTTGGACAAAAATTATTCCTGAAACAGATGATATCTGTTAGGAATAGCAAGTTCAGGAATGACCCAGAAATGGCCTCAATATATTTGCATTTCAACTAGTGACACCAAGGATATTGACAGTTCCACTGCTTACATTATTTGATAACACAAAGATGTAACTTCTCCTGCTCTTGTCTGGATTCAAAGTCACTCTGTGAGCAATGAAATGTAGCTGTGAACCTAACTGTCTTTTCAAGCACTGAGAGACACCTGTTGAGGAATCCTCAAGTTTTAAAGGTGCCACAGCTGGTGAGAGCAAACAGCAAGTTGGCTGCTCAGAGAAAACACATTTCCTATCCTGGACCACTAAGGTAAAAAGAAAGCTTTTCCTCTGCTAGGTGTTGTTGCAGAGGCAGTAAAATGGGACATCTTCAATCTTCTGACACTAGAGTGGTTGAAAACACCACTTTCATCAGGCATTGCCTGCAGGGAATTCTACACACTAGAGATGGATTTCTGAATGAGACTTCATAGGAGTATACCCCAAAGGGTATTTACTTACTTGTAAGCACATTCCTTGACCATAGTTTAGGTTTGGTCCTGTGAAGTAAAAATGGGCAGAGACCAGACACACCAACTCTACATAGTACTCATCAAACCTTACACGTTTATAGAATCATAAAATTATTTAGGTTGGAAAAGACCCTTAAGATCATTGAGTTCTGTTGTAAACCTAGCACTGCCAAGTCCACCAGGGTCAGGACAGCACGGTAATTCTTTCCTCTGATCCACACTTAGAAAATCACTAATAACTTTTTTCTAGCCCTTTTTTCTAACCTTTTTTTCCAATCTGTAGACCACCTAAAAATTTCCCTGTAACGGGACAAACATCACATACACAGGCTGCAGTATGGCAAACGCGATCCTTCTTTGTTTTTGTGAAATCTTATAGAAGCAGTCAGAGCCCAAGGCTTCAGAAACAATAAGCTGGAAGCCAACACTTTCCAAGAGACAGCTGGCTGGTACACATGCTACCAGTCACAGAGATATGCCAAGTGAGCCTGACTCATAACCCACGGGAGTACACCTTGCATGCTCACCACTGCGGCAATCCCTTGGCAGCTTTAACCTATGTCCAATCACCACCCCTCCGCTTTTCCAGCCAACAATTTTGTTTCCTAACAGGGATGGTAGGATTTACGCCTGGTTTTGCATGTAGTCATGATTTGTCACTAATTAGCCAGAGATGCAAGGAACTTGGGTTGGCAATATCATAGAAAAGTAACTCTGAAAACTGCCAGTGAGTTTTAGGTGTCACACTTGTTTCAGAGAGCAGGAATCCAGCTCTTCCTCAACCCTATAACCATATGCTGAACAAAGAGGCTTTGAGAACAGATTCAAATGGATACAATAAGGTCATGCTGGAGAGCATGCCATCTTTGCTTTTTCAGTACTGGACTTTCAAATCTCACTCCACTGAAATGTTCCTAATTAATTCTGGAAACTAAATTCCTAGGGATGCAGCCATATAGTTTATTTAAATATATACTTTACACAGCAGCCAAATTAAGTGTGACAGCTTGTTTACTACGGGTTCCTGCCCTATGGGAGCTTTCGGGCACGGTACATTAAGCAAGACAGCAAAATAACAAGTCATGAAACAAATGGCATTAAATACTGCTATACTTCATATTTACCCTTTTGGTATGCAAAAATCACAAGATTTACAGATTTCATGGGCCAAATTTTAAACACTACTACAAAGAAGTCAAACAGGTAGGTGGTGCAAAAAAGTACAGCTATTCCAACAGACAGCCTCTGTCGTATTTAATGTCACCTATTACTTAGCTGCCACCAGGCAAAAACATGGGTGTCAAGTTCAATTTGACTGCTTTGTGTGTACAATTTAGATAAACAACCTGTGTCTTTTAAACACAGCACTATCTCCTTCTATTGTTAAAAGGGTCCTTGATTTTCTGTTTCTGGAAGCTACAATTTAATTTCCCAATTTAAAATCTATTTATTTTGTGAAGCAATTTACAACAAATCTAAATTAAATGTTTTGAAAGAAAGCCTATAATCAGCAACAGGCTGCTGATGGTAATTCTAACACCACAGAGGGACAGTTTTAGTCTTCTAGAAACCTCTGCCATCACATGACAGTACATGCAAGACACTTTTCTGAACACACCTCTTGATCTGTGAAGATCTCAATGAAGTTCTGGAAGGAGAAGGATCCTGACTGAAGAATGAGTTCTCCTGTGTTTTCAAAGCATTGCCCAGTTAGTACAAGGAGCTTGTGTCTTGCAGCATCTGTGATCATTAAGCGCACCTGGAGTGAAGGAGAGAAATACATCAATAATGGGAGATATCATGTGTTTCTATATTCCACTGGGAATGTGCGGTTTATCTCTCCTAATTTAAAACATATTTTGCACCAGAGTCTCCCAGGACTGTCAAAACATTATCATGTTATTATGCTGTTTACAAATGACAATGAGAAAGGTGCAAAGGGAAAAAAACGGAGGGACAAGAAGCAATTAGAGAGAAGATCTGATAAATAACCCATATTAATGACATGGAAAAAAAAAAGCAAGGAGCAGAATAGAATAAAATTTGAATGAAAAAATAATATTTTCAATGAACAAACATATTGCTTGTATGACTCAATGAATTTTAATAGCACTCTATCAGGACAGTCTTGGTAAACTGTGTCCCAGGCACTCATAGGGGATAACTGCATGCGTCAGACAGTTTTTGGAAGGTTGGCCTTCTATTCTCAGAGCACAGCATTACTTGTCATTCAGTTGTGAAAACATCACTGAAAAGTAACAGCCACAAATCACGGGCAAAAGTGTCATGTTTAGACTGTCATTCTGTTGTAACCTGAATCATCTAGAAAGTTAAGGGATTATACTCCCTCACCATAACCATAAACCTGAACTTCAAGCACACAGATACAGTCACATGCACCATTTACATCTCATGATCTCACTATTGACACTATAAGTGTGCCAATCCAAGACCTTTTTAAATATACAATAGTAAATTAAGTGGATGCCTGATGGCACAAAAGAGCTTGCTACTAAGAAATAATGTTCTCCTGCATTTTGTAGTAACTCAACTATTTTAAAGTAGATGCTCATTACTTTATTTGACCCTCACTACAGATCCTCTTTCCCCTCTGGGAGATTTACTTGAATGCTAAGAAAAATCCATATATTCGGTGTACTTCTGTTGGCTGAATTCAACTTAAATTTAAAAACAAAACTAAAGAAAACCTGTGTAAGATTCTGTACTGTGAGTACATTTCTTGTAAATACTTCAACAATCTTGTCCAACACAAAAAAAAATCAGTTCAGCCTACGGTAAGGTGTGAATTTCAAGTAATTAATTTTTGTGTTTAAGGAGGAATTAAGTTAAACCAGAATATAGTGATTTTAGAACAAGGCTATTGACATATTAAATTACATGAGCAGAGTTCATCTGGAACAGCTCCACATGACACTGCATCCAAGTTCCATCTCCACGGAGATGACATAATCACCTCAGCTCTCCTAGCAAGCTATTCTTTCAAATTTTTATATTTATTGTTAAGCAATCAGCTGTTTTAAATAATTCCTGCTCACACCAGGAAGTCTCAGCCTGAATCTCTGAACAACTTGCATTTTCAGTACAAGTAAAAAAGAGGCACTGAAAAGTATGTGTCTGATAGATGATCCTAACTCTACCACATTTTCACTGTTGTTTTGTTAAATAAGTGACCCTGATGCTGAGCAGCAGGAAGTTCTTTTAATTAAATGCAGAACTAATGCTGGTCTGTCATTAATTGTCACTATGTAATTATAAATTCAGCAATATCCCTGCTGGATCAAGTGTATTTATTTCTATTTCAGATAAAAATATAGATAAGTGCAGCCGGCTGTCTGATGTATGCTTCTCAAAATCTTGTCTGTTTTAGCTTTATTAAAACCATGAAAGAACTGGCTTCCTCTTCTATGTTTTCTCTCATTTCTGGCAGAAGTGCTGGGCAGTCTGCCAAATTATGTGTAAACCCACCACATTTTCCAATAGCCAAATTATTTCCTGACTTGTGAATCATTGATGTGTGACTGTCACATAATTCTCCTTCAACTTATTTTATTAATTGATGATGAAATACATTCTGCAGAGCTAGCAAACTATGGCAAGAAAAAAGTAAATAAATGTTTGCAGATTACAGAGCATAATGTAGGATACGTATAGAAGGCTTTCAAGACACATAAATTCTGTGTCTGGGTATAACCAAGGCTTCCCGGAGGACTACCAGAAATTCATCTCCTGATTTCCAAACCACCCCATTTCAGAAGTAACAGCTGATTTTGTTCAGCTTTACACTTGCTTGAAGTCCCAACTTGCTTTGTTGGAAGCAAACAGCAAGACATAGCCTCAGTCAAAACGGAGGTAAAGTTGGAGTGTGAACAGACAGAGGAGCATCAGCAGATGAGCAGTTTCCCAGACTGATAGGACAGTCACAGAAGTGTTAAAGCAATGGAGTTGAGTCTTCTTAACTGTTCATGGGGTTTTCAGAAATTTGTTTTCTTTGGGAAAAGAAATCCCTTTGGGCCTCTCTCTTCTGGGAGGTATTTTGGCAATTGACAGAACATGACAGGAGATCTGGGAAGAACTGTGCTCAGACTACCACCAGCATGGCTCTTACCAGACAGATTAGCAGGAATTTCTTTTAATATCATTTTCCTTTGTTTTTCCTGAATGGATAGATTCAAGTTCCTCTTCTGTTGAAGTCAGAGCTCTATGGTCTATCACTGTCTGAACAGACACAACCAGGAAATCTCTCAATATATGAAACTAAGTTTCCTATTTGCCATAATGGGCAGAATATGTCTATTCCAACATACAATTTAAATCTCCTGCCTCTTTCTTATTGTCTTTTTCTGGTTTAGGTCCAGTCAAGAGTCTTACTTAGGCAGCCAAGGTAAATCTCAGCTTGTAACTTCTATATGTGACCAGCTTAGCAATATAAAAAGAAGAAAAGACTGCCTCCCACAGTCTAGCAAGAGGACATTAACCTAGCCAAACATGACAGTTCCCAACTACACCAGATCCCTCAGCGCTATATCGACCCAACTCTTAAACACCTCCAGGGATGGAGACTCCACCACTGCCCTGGGCAGCCCATTCCAACACCCAACAACCCCTTCTGGAAAGAAATAATTCCCAATATCCAGTCTAAACCTTTCCTGGTGCAACTTGAGGCCATTGCCTCTTGTCCTATCACTTGTTACTTAGTTCAAGAGACTCATCCCCAGCTCTCTGCACCCTCCTTTCAGGGAGCTGTAGGGGAGACCTCATTACCTCTTCTCCAGACTAAACATCCCCAGTTCCCTCAGCCGCTCCCCGTACGACCTGTGCTCCAGACCCTGCACCAGCTCCGTTGCCCTTCTCTGGACACGCTGAGTCATTCAATGTCCTTTTCGGAGTGAGGGGCCCAAAACTGAACACAGGAATCGAGGTGCGGCCTCACCAGTGCCGAGTACAGGGGTCAGATCCCTTCCCTGTCCCTGCTGGCCACGCTATTGCTGACACAAGCCAGGATGCCACTGGCCTTCTTGGCCCCCTGGGCACACTGCTGGCTCCTGTTCAGCCGGCTGTCAATCACCCCCCCAGGTCCCTCTCTGACTGGCAGCTCTCCAGCCACTCCTTCCCAAGCCTGTAGCACTGCTGGGGGTTGTTGTGGCCCAAGGGCAGCCCCCGGCATTTGGCCTTATTGACACTCCCCCAGTTGGGCTCAGCCCATGGCTCCAGCCTGTCCAGGTCTCTCTGCAGAGCCTCCCTACCCTCGAGCAGATCAACACTCCCACCTGAACAAATTTAATTTGTTTTGGAGTCTTTCCTCTTGTTTGTGTTTAATACCACCTAAGGTTGGTAACAAAACAGATTTTTCACTACATATTACAAACAGAACTGCTTTATTTCCCAACAGAAATGGTACTATGTCTGTGGTTCCCAGCACAGGCTAGCAATGCAATTACCCTATTTTTTCATCCTCCAGTCTCACTAGTCAAATGTGTCAATTTTGTCTTTGAGATACACGTTTGTTTCTTTGACTCTACTGAGTTCATGAGAAATTGGCAGTCTTCTGGGGGTCTCTCCAAAGTCCAATGATCATGTCACATGCCTTTATAATGACATTTAGGTCAATCTGGAGTCACCACTACACACCTGTTAATTCTTCTCGAAGACCTAATTTTTTTGGTGCAGTTCTCCGAGGTCTCACTGCACCTCCAGCCACTTTTTTCATGTGTAAAATAGACATCCAGAGCTACTGAACAATGGAGGATCAGAAGAAAAGCAGATGCAGTTTCACCACACTTGCCTCCCCTTCACCAAGAAGGGAATTTGGTGCATTATGAGAAAAGAAGTGTTGGGATTAGAGTTCTATTTCTGTTCTATGCCTCTGGTGTTTTGTCAGGAGTCTGGGAAGCTAGGAAGAAAATTAAGGAATGGCTGATGTTTTTCACGGTATTTGCTCCTAACATGTCCTTTCATTCACAGTTAGGACCTGCTCTTAGTCCGCTATGACTCTGAAAGGCAGTACTGGGGTTTGTCAGTCAGTAAGCTGGAAGGCAGTACCTGAAATTCAAGAAGCATCTCAACAACATCTGCTTCACTGCTCTCATCCTGTCCACTTACTAGAGCTTTCCTGACACATCCAAACAAGTATTTCTGACTTACCTCAGTACTAACTGCTTCATCTGAGGGATTGATCAGGACTACAGTTTCTAAGACATCACTTCTGTGGTGAAGAATCTTCTGACCTGCAAACACAGAGGGAAAAAAAAATAAATAAATTCAACCAGCATGGCTTAAAGCAGCACTTTCTATGAGCTTGTTATATGGCCCATTGTGCAACATCTCTCTGGTCACCCAGAGCAGCTCACACCAGCCACAGAAGTCGCTGCACTGCTCATCTCTTTGGAAACACCCACAGCATGTGGTCGTGAGGGCCAGAAACACTCCAGAAAATTGAAGGTTAATGGTAACAAACTGGCAACAGCACCAGGTCTTGTCCCTTCCCCATGGCCGGAGGAGTCCCTGTAACTCACCCTGGTATCACAGTGCTGATATGGATCAGGGACAGGAGTAACTGTCACCAGTTGAGCATCTGGCTCTGTATTTTCATGAATGTACCTACACCACAGCTAAGATTACACGGTCCTGTACCAAGCCCAGGTGGTTTTAAATGAGTTTTTCCAGGAACTGTTAGTGGCCTAGCTGCAGCAGCAGTAAAGTCAGCACGGGCTGCAAACTTTCCCTGCCAGAATCAAAGCAAATACCTAGGCTGCATGCTGGTTCTGCCCACCATGGCTAACAACCACAATTTGTGAGACATGCAAAGGAGTCACGGGGTGTCCCAGCTGCCCACCTCCACCCTCACTGTCCTGCTCAGCACTCACATGATCCCTGGCATTCACAGTGGGAGTGCTCCCAAACCAGGCAGTGCCCCATGCAGACTCCAGGTTCCCATATGCACCAGACCTGGGACCCACTCTGCCAAAACTCCCCTTTCAGCCTTCTGCTAATATTGATTAACACCAGGACACTGCAAGAAATTCCCCATGGGGATGTTCAGACACTTGCTGCTCTGCCCTGCTTCATCTTCCTTCTGCTTACAAAACCCATAGCAACCAATGTTAGGCAACAAGAGTGAACGGGCATACAACAGCTAACTCATGAATGAATAACGTCTGGGCAAGTTTGGAGCTGCCTCACAGCCTGCTGGCTTTCCTGCTTAGTAGTTAGTCTGTCTCTGTATTTAATAGTGATATTCATCTGACTGGGAGTGGATGCCAGAAAAACACAACAGGACTCTTGACATTTTTTTTTCTTATGTTAATTGGCAAGTTCTTATCAGGGTCTCTTTCTGTGAGAACTGCAGTGAGATTAATTAGCAGCCGTATTGTCAATTCAGCAATCCAGACTGCTAATTAGTCCAAAAAACCAGAAGAGCTGTCCCTTCTAAGCAAACTTCTCGGTGCAATATTAATCAATTAAAATAATTAATTGTGCTTAAAGGGAAATACGAGGGACACAGAACAATCCACTTATTTACCAACTTAGAAAAATTCCCCTGCAAAGAGATGTAAAATAATGAGGCTGAGGATGGCCGTGCTGAAAGGAGCTCTGCATTTCTGAGAATGCTGGGCAGCGTGGAGGCAGCCTGAGACAGTGGGCAGCTGGCCTTTCCCACACTGCCCCTGCCTCGGGCCTGGCTCGGTGCTGACCCTGGCCCTTCCCCAGGCAGCCCCCCACCAGGCATAGAGCCCTGCCTGTGCCGGGGATGCCCTTCTCCACCTTGCCCTGCCTGCATCCCTCTTGTCCTCCTCCTCTGCCTTGCCCACTGAGCTGGCTGTGTGCTGCATCCTCTGCTGTTGCTCTGAGGAAGCTCTGCATTTATAAGCATAAGAGCTTACAATCAAATGACAGAAAGTGAAGGAGAAGAAAATAATTTAATCTTCCGGTGAAATGTGAGATGGTGTTGTAGTTTAGTCTCTTGTACATGACTTGTGGATAATCATTTGAAGAAACTTACTTTTCTTAACATACATTGCTTTTGCTATACTTCCTTGAAAGAAGGAGACAGATTGCATATTACAAAAGGGGGTGAGGGTAGATCTCCCTCTGCAGCATCCAGTTCTGGCATTACCCTTTGTAATTCAATTTATTTTTATAGCTCTGCTTCCTTGACTAACAGGAATGCATAAATAACACTACATTCAAAAAACAGCCAGACGGCTCTGTTACCACAGACTCCTTCAGAAGATGCTCTGTAATCTGATATTTTTTTTATATTCTACAGATTTTCCTCAAATTCAGAGATTACGCAGAGTTTATTCAATCTAGTCTTTACCATTGGTAAAGGAAACAAAAGAAATCATCACCCTTTAGAGGCCACAGAAATTTCTCCCTTAATAGTGACATCAAACACACACTATGCTACAGGTCAGACTAAGCCTCATATATGATTAGACATTAACACATTAAACACAGGTAGAAAAAGTGAATTAGCCACATGCAAAGTTAGACAAATAGGCACAGTGTCCACCTGACTCAAAACACCCACTCTGGACTTAACTGAAGCTGCTCCAAGTCAGGTATCCATGTAGCTGGGAGGGATCTGAGCTGAGGAGTGACAGCTCCTGCTGAACCAGCACTGATGGTGGTTACTTACACCCTATGCTCCTGTGGGCCAGACACCCAGCTCCAGTGGTTGCAAGGTTTCATACACCTTGACACTGATTCCCAGAGGCAAACGCAGAGGTCTGCACCATATACACGGTGCCTGTTCAGAGCTCATGCCTGGCTGCCTCCCTCTTTCACTCCTCAGCACCAACATGTGTTGCTGCTTATCGTAAAGGGTGGGGACTCAGCACTGGCAGGGTATGAGTCACTATGGGGGCTCCAATCCCCTGTAAAATTTAGGGAGTTTGTGGCCACTTGCCGATACCAGTAACATGAGCCTGTGTCATTGCTTGAGAACTAAAAAAAAAAACCTCTTTTTTAAAAGCTATTTACAAATTTGTAAGAACAACACAGGCTTACTGCCCAGGTTGATGCACTGAGATGCCCAGCTGGAATGAAGCAGTCTCCGACAGGAACAGTTTTATCAAACGGAAGCAAACTATCACACTGTGGGAGCAGAAAGCAGCAACAGTATTTCACACATTAGCCGGGGACTGCAACTTGCTGAACTACAGATGGAGTGGGAGAATCTGAGACTCATGTAAGAAGATCTGGGGTTGATTTAAACTAACCCTACTGGATTTTTGCAGTTCAACTCTACACATTTGACAGAACATTTCTGTGATCTGTCAGAGGAAAAAAGGCAGAAACTTCCAGGTTACACAGAAGTGGTTAAGTGGATAGACTATACCTGCTTATAGTTTCTGGAAAGCAAGTCATAGTCCTATCTAAAGACTTTCAGAAATAAATATTAATTGTGTTTGGAATAAGTCTAAGTATCTGCTGATCCTTGATTTTATTAACTAAAGCTTCAAATCAAACCCAGATATGAATAAATAGTCTTGGCAACTGTTTGATTCAGAACAAGAACAGAGAGGAGAAGTATGTGACAACTGCTTAAAGGGTGATTTCCACATGAATCATCCCAGTTCCTATGGCCATAGGATCCTATTGTTTCCCTACTCAGCCAAATATCAATGACATTTATAGCAGGATTACTGAGATGGGGATGGTGTAAGTAATATTTCCTAGAGAAGTGATTGAACAGATTACTAATTTACACAGTTGATTTTTTTTCCAGGCCAATCAAGCAGCATGATAATGGGGCCCAGTTTTAACAGTGCTTATGTTAAATCTGTGCAAACACAACATGTAAATGAATGGCAAGGGAAAGAGAGCAAGCCCTCCTTCAAGTTTTGTTTAATCAAGGATTGCTATTGACACTTCTTACTGGGCATGCCTGTGCAACAGCAGACCATGGGGAGTGCATGCTGTAGGCAACAAGCTACTCAACAGAGGGGTCCCTATCAGCCCTTCCCTCCACCCAGGATGGACACCAGCACTCAGTTGCTCCCCATCAGTGTCATTCCCACACAAAGTAAACACAGAGGAAGGAGGAGATATTTCCTGTGATAATTCTTGGCAGAGAGGGTGAAGGGAGAATACCTTCTCCCTGAAGATAGTAACTTTGACACCTGAGTTGGCATTCAAACACAACACTTTGGCAACTGTAAACATCTTTTCTTTTTCATTATAAAGAACTCTGTTGTTCAGAAGACATGACTGCTGAGTTACACTAGTCACCGTGGTGACTTGCTAACAAAGTTTCCATCAGTCATGACTACAGTGAACATCACTGCAGTGAACTCTCTACAGCTGGAAATGTTCACGGCTCCACACTTGAAAGTAGCTCCAGGGCTTCCTCAGCCGCCCCTGTCTCATGGACAAATTTCCATACACTGAGGGGAGAAAAATCCTCCAAAATGAACCATAAAACAGCCATTCCTAGAGTTCTTTCTTCAGCTTTGAGAAGATGTCTTTAACAGACAAATACAACCACTGAGGAAAAGACATTTTCTCAAAAAACAATGTTGCATTTGAGGAGCAGCAACGTGCAACCTTTTTCTTTTACATCTCTGGGCATAGATGGCAGGAAAGGTAGAAGAAAACAAATCTTTAGCAAAACCAGAAGTAATAAACTGAGGAATACAACAAAGGTATTCACCACTGAACAAGAGGTCAGATGGAGCATGGTCTTCGAGCTGCTAAGGCTCTGAAAGACAGTATTGGGGTTTGTGAGACACTGTGTTGGAAAGCAATAGCTGATGTTCAGGAATTATCTAAACTACATCTGTTTCAATTTACCAAGTCTAATGCAGGTTATTTGAAGGTTATCATATCCCTTGGACATGATATATTTAAAGCAATAAATTACTTTGGAAAAAAAAAGGAGCCTTTTGCATAGCCAACAGTAATGCAATAACCTATACATTTTAAGTAACTTAAAACTTATAATTGTTTCACCTTCTTTTTCTAGCGGGGACTTCAAATTCACTGGGTAAAGAACTGTCTGGATGGCGGGGTCCAAAGTGTTGTGGTGTACAGAGTTAAATCTAGTTGATGGCCGGTTACAAGTGTCCCCCAGGGTAGAGGAGGAGATTGAGTGCACCCACAGTAAGTTTGCAGATGATTCCAGGTTGGGTGGGAGTGTTGATGTGCTCGAGGGTAGGGAGGCTCTGCAGAGAGACCTGGACAGGCTGGAGCCATGGGCTGAGCCCAACTGGGGGAGTGTCAA